GTCATCAGCTTAAAGGTTTGAAGTGTGATTGGAACGAGTGGTTATTTGAGTTATTGTTGCCTTCCTATCAGCTTGAAGCAGTCTGGCCATTCTACTCTGATCGCTCATGTCAGCAAGGCAGTTTCACCTTTTTTCTTTTTGAGACCATCATCAGTAAACCCTAGAGATGGTTGTGTGAGAAAATCCCAGCAGGTCAGCTGATTTTTAAATACTCAGAACAGCCCGTCTGTCACCAACAACCATGCCATATTCAGAGGCACTTAAATCACCTTTCTTCCTCAATCTGATGCTCAGTTTGAACTGTAGCAGGCCATCTTGTCTTGATTTGATTTCACCATCTTGATTTGAATTGCCGCAGGTGTACCTAAAAAGTCTAACGAGGGTCAAGCGACACATTTAACTTCTGTTGGGCCTCTCTAAAACGTTCATGTTACTGGACTGGGCCCTGTTAGAATTTAATGTTGAGCTGAGTGAGCCAGTCTCTCTAGAGTTTGTGTTTTTTGTGTCTTTTTGTAGCATCTTTGAATTCATTACACGTCATTTTTTGTTTCTTTGTTGTCACTTAAGCAGACTTGGCTCTGGGTCTCCAGGAAACATAAATAGATGCACTGAAAGTACCTGATGAGTCCCTTGCTAACAAAAGCATCTTTCGATTAAAGATGCTTCGTTACCAAGCCTGACTTGTTATTTTAACCAATGTAAATTCTCGCTTTTGTTGCAGACAGCTTCAACCTGTAACCAGTCAAGCAAATTGGGAGTCAGCTCTTTAAATCTCTGAGGTGTCCTGATCAAACTGAAGCCACAGCACGTTCAGGTGGCTTCTCAAGCTAAACCTTTGACCTGTTGTGCGTCTTCTGTACTTCTTTAACATGGAGGACGGCTACCAAAACCGGACTGCCTTCATAAAAGGAGCCAAAGACATTGCCAAAGAAGTCAAGCGGCAAGCTTCCAAGAAGGTGGGTCGCTCAGTTGATCGAATGAGCGATGAGTACAGCAAGCGCTCCTACAGCCGCTTTGAAGAGGACGATGACGATGACTACCCCATGCAGGGAAGTCAGGATGGAGGCTACTACCGTGGAGACAGCCAGGCAGCGAACGACGATGAGGGCGGCCACAGTGACTCCACAGAGGGTCACGATGAGGATGACGAGATCTATGAGGGAGAGTACCAAGGAATTCCCAGGGCTGATTCAGGAAAAGGTAGCCTTGCTGGGGGTCCAGGATCGGTGGGAGCCGGAGCTCAGCAGTTCAGAGATATCGGCGTGTCCGAGGCTGAGAGGAGGAAGGACCAAGAGGAGCTGGCCCAACAGTACGAGACCATTTTGCAAGAATGTGGCCACGGAAGGTTCCAGTGGAGTCTGTACTTCGTCCTGGGCCTCGCACTCATGGCTGATGGCGTGGAGATCTTTGTGGTCGGGTTTGTGCTCCCCAGCGCTGAGAAGGATATGTGTCTGTCTGAACCCAACAAAAGCATGCTAGGTAAGACTCTGCTCCTTCTGTTGCAAATGTTTAGCAGGCTTATTATCAGTTTTATACATGACAGTGCTGTTAATAATCTACACATTAGTCCCCGTCAACAAACCTTGGCTGTGTAGCCAAGGCTTGATACAACTCATTCCTCTGTGGCATGATCTTTACTTCTCAGCCAAGAACTATTTAAAACACTAAATGAGTCACACTGTTGCTCTTGGCGACATGTTCTTTCGAACCCACATGCAGCATACTTGAAATACTCACCAGAGCGTGAGATGTGTATCAACTCTGAGGAAAAATATTTGTTTGTTTGTTTGTTTGTTTTTAAAAATGACTGGGTCTTCATTTTTTTAAGGACAAACATTTACACACACAAGTGATGCAGTGACAGGTTCCTGCCAATGGTTTCATGCCACCAGACTGATTTAGATAATGTTGGGTAATGATGCAAAAAAGAAACACAGCAATGCAGCAGCAAAGAAGCGAGAGGGAGGCAGAGCGCTCGGCGGATGCAGCAACGTCTATGTTAAACATTTCATAAAAAACGTTTTGTTTTATGTTTTAGTTTTTAATAAATAATCCAAAGAATAGTTTTAACAACAATGAGCTCTTCAAAGATACAGTGAGTGACTGAAACTAGCCTCTTTAACATACACTGCACCACGCCAAAGAAGTTGGGATGCTGTTTGAAATGTAAATGAAAACCGAATGCAATCATTTGCAAATCTCATAAACTCACATTTTATTCACAACAGAGCTGAGAAAACATTGAACATTAGGAAAATGAGGAGCCCACTTGGTTGATTTTTGGAAGTAGAACGTCCCGTTTTTGTCTCAGGTGGGGTTCTAGCTGCTCAGCAGTCGTGGGTCGTCTTTGTCGCAATTTTTCTTTCCCGATCCACCAAATGTTTGGTGTTGGGGAAAGGTCTGGACTTTATGGCAGGTCACTTTAGCACACAGACTCTTCTACTATGAATCAATGCTGTTGTAATAGATGCAGCGTGCTGTGTAAGATTATATTATACTGCTATAAAGCATGCAGAATAGAGGAATCCATGTTTTCATGCATTTTATTTCACTGTTTTCTACTTTGTTTCAGTTTATTTCAAATTATTTTTAGCCCAAAGTTGATGGCAGAGTCTTTGGGTCATGTTCACGTATGGCTTCTTCTTCACACAACAGTTTAAACCTGCATTTGTGGATGGCGCAGTGAACTGTGTTCACAGACTATGATTCCTGAGCCCATGCATTGTTTCTGCCTGAGCACCTGAAGCATCCTGCATCATTTTCAGCCTCTAAATCGTTTGATATATTTGGTACTATACATGATGAGGTATTTAAATTCTTAGCAATTTTACATTTAGGAACAATATTCTGAACCTGAGAAACTCTGCCTCTTGTCTTAAACCCAATCATGTTACTGACCGGCAGCCAATTATCCTAACTAGCTATTATTTTTTTATCTTCATTTTATACCGCATCCAACCTTTAGGGGAGTTGGGGTTGTGTATGAAAGATGGTCATACGCACCATGACATCACCCACTGGGTTGGTCAGTTTAAAGCGTGGTGTTTAGCATCATAACTGCCACTATCTTGATTCTTTGGAGCTCAAATGGCCATATTTGGATGGTCTTTTAGAACAATTACCCACTAGAGTCATATAATTTTAAAGATAAATGCATTAAAATGGCCCCAAAGGCCAATGTTTTCAGTCTCTCAGATTACAGTCATGAAACAGTGGTTAAATCTTTTATCAGGAAGTCTATGGGGATCAACACGCTTTTACAGCCAGCTTCACACTGGCACTTCCACGTTTTCTTCTTTTCCCAGCCTTTCCCTCAGAAGGGAAACAAAAGAAATGTGCATGTTTATCATCAAACTGTCAATCTGATTTGAGATATAGTAGAGTTATCACGAGCCGGCAAGTCTTTGTAGTCTGACAATTGAATTTCCTTTGCTCTCTCTGCAGGTCTTATTGTATATTTTGGGATGATGGTTGGCGCTTTCCTATGGGGAGCTCTGGCTGACCGGATAGGCCGTCGGCAGTCTCTTCTCATCTCTCTCTCTATCAACAGTATCTTCTCCTTCTTCTCCTCCTTTGTCCAGGGTTACAGCACCTTTCTGTTTTGCCGCCTCCTCTCGGGTGTTGGGTAATTAAAAAAATTATAATAACAAAAATACTTCTGTTTTTTCTGCCCGTGCCATTTAGTTGACTTAAAAAAAAATCATCATTTCATTTATTAAGGGGCAATAATCTGCATTTGTTAAATGATGAATTCAAAGTCTCTCGTCTACACAGTCCTCATTTATAAGGTGCTTCACAAACCCAAAACATTAAAAGGTAACAGCAGTTGCTGCTAAAGAGGCAGACAGGGAAAGTGGAAAGCAAATCTGTGGTTTACAATGCAACAATGAGTTAAATTAAAAAATTTAACTCATTGTTGCAGACAGGAGCAGCTCAAAAGTGTTCCCCTTAAACAGATTTTTTTAGATTTAGTCCCCTTCTTCCCACTGAGTTATTGGTTCTGTCGCTAGCTAGCTAACATAAACTAAGTCTATTAGCCACAACCAACCAACCACGGTAGACATGTTCTCAAAACTTTAGGCACTTATTTCTTTAGTCCAGCTTCACAGACAGAGTTACAGCTAAGTCAGTTTTTGAGAGCAGAAAAAAAAAGTTGCAAAACACCTGTCTGATATAAGCAACAGGTTCGGTTTTAGAGGGTTAACCTGAACCTGTCTGACAAAGTGTAGTTCAAAGATCTCAAAAAGGGACACTTTTTCTATCTAAAGAAATCTAAAGAAACAGCTTAGAAGCAAAGTCACTGACCTTTATCGGCCTAGAGCAATTTCTAAGGCTTTGGGACTCCTGTAAAACATGGTGATAGCCATTACAACAAATGGAGAAAACTTGCCCAGGTGACCAAAATTGGCCTATCAAGAGCACATCGATGACTCATCCAGGAGGTCCCAGAATAACATATGCAGACCTGCAAGCCTCACTCGCCTCAGTTAACGTCAGAGATCATGATTTAACGACAAGAAAGAGACTGGGCAAAATGGCATCTATGGGAGCATCTCCAAAGAACTCTACAAGCTGAACGTTTTGGAAGGTTTGAGTCCCATTACATCTGACATAAAACTAAAACAGCATTTCATAAAAAGAACGTCATACTAACTGTCAAACACGGTGGTGATAGTGTGATGATCTGGGGCTGCTTTGTTGCTTCAGGGCAACTTATGGAACCATGAATTTTTCTCTCTACCAGAAAATCCTGAAGGAGAATGTCCAGCTATAACTTCGTACCTGAAGCTCAAGCATCAACGACCTGAAACATACCAGCAAGTCCACCTCTGATGTGCTAAAAAATAAATGAATAAGAGCAGGAGAAAATTCTTCCACAGTGATGTGAAAGTGCCATCCTCGCTGTGAAGGATGGCACAGGCAGTTCTTAGGTTTAGGGGGTAATTACTTTTTCACTGCACGGTGTGCCATAACTGCAGTATTAGTCCCTTCCCTTTTGAAAGTTTTAATTTTTATCCGGCTGCACAAATGCAATTTTAACAGTGAAATCGCACGAGCACAAAATTATTTTGATGATTCATTTAGTTTTTACAACGTGTAGCAAAGTGTTCAAACAGAGTTTCTCAAGTTTAGCGAACTGGCAAATTGAAAGCCTGACATCGTTTCCATTTGGGCTCAAACCAGTCGCTTTCCCGCTGAGCTCCTGTGAGTTTGTTTTGCACCACGGTGATGATAATCACACAAGCACAGAGACATGTAATGCACTGGTTGAGTTAAAGCTTTAGTGGCTAAATGAAACAGCAATTGCTGCACATTCAAGCTCTGAGAGAGCCAGGAGTTGGAAAGTTTTGCAAACAGTTGCTCTACTTTTAAAAACAATAACATAAGTATGTTGCTTGACTCTTGATATGATACAGAAGAAAGAGCCTATCTATTCAAACACACATATACATATCAAACATAGTATCACTGATACAAACACTTCACCTCTAGGCTCAGTTGTTTTCTGAATTTTGCAGAATCGGTGGTTCGATTCCCATCGTCTTCTCGTACTACTCTGAATTTCTGTCCCAAGAGAAGCGTGGCGAGCACCTCAGCTGGCTCTGCATGTTCTGGATGATTGGAGGAATATACGCATCTGCTATGGCCTGGGCTATAATCCCACATTATGGTGAGTACAGTGATCAGAGTAAAGAAAACAGATAGTTATGGATCCTTACTTTCTCTGCCCAGGCTGACTGATCATCATCAAATGCCTATGAGATACAAATAAAGCTCCCTAAATATTATATTACAATCTCTTTATTTTTACAATTATTATTATTATGCATGTACGTATGAAAAATCCCACCAAGATGTTAATATTTTTGGAGATTTGTCAGTCAGTTGAAAAGCTCGAGGGTAAAACGTAAGCTGACGTTGTTTGCTAGAAAGTGATCTACCCAGAAACCGTGCACTGAGGGTGACCTCTGACCTCTAAATTCTGTTTGAGAACATGCTTCATAGTGAGTTTTAAAAACATGTTATTTTCACTGCACTGAAGGTTAACTATTCGGAAATGTGTGCTCACTTCTTTGTGTTGGCTTGCTTTTTCCTTTCAGGATGGAGTTTCCAGATGGGCTCGGCGTATCAGTTCCATAGCTGGCGCGTGTTTGTGCTAGTGTGCGCTTTTCCATCAGTTGCAGCCATCGCTGCCCTTAACGCCATGCCAGAGAGCCCACGCTTCTACTTAGAGGTTAGCAGATGTGCTTGTTTAAACAGTTAAGTCTTTGTCTTACAGTAATAGCTGCTGATATGTTTCTCGTTATTAAATCTATCCAATCTTTAACAGAATGGCAAACATGACGAAGGCTGGATGGTTCTGAAGCAAGTTCACGACACAAACATGCGAGCAAAGGGATACCCAGAGAGGGTGTTTTCTGTAAGTATCAGTGGGAAAACAGCAATGTAAATCTCTCAGAGAGCTCACAGCAGAGGGAAGTGTGGGAGAGGGAGAACAGACGGGGTCTCTAGTCAGATACCCATTGGCTGCCTGGGGTTACGCCCCTAGTTTGGAGTAAGCTGAACAAAAAGACACACTGACTTTGGATCAGAGCCGATGACTTGTGCAAAAGAAACTTGCTGCTATGTGATGCAATGAAAACCACAGAGAGTATATTAAGGACTGATGTAACCACTATGACATCACCCACTGGTTTGTGGCCTCAAATTTAACCGGTGCAGAAGATGTATTAACACAGGTTTGTTTGTCACATGACATCATGCACACATTGCTCAAGAGTTGCCTGCCATGTTGGATGTGATACACCCTCTGGTTGCTATGGTAATGTGAAATACCCAGCTGGTCAGCAGTGGTTCCTGGAGGTTGCTACATCTTGCTGGGTGAAATCAGTTTAAATGAAGATGCTGCACCGAACACCTCTCAGTAATTGCCTTGGTAACAGGTTGTTTACCTGTAGCTTTTTATGTTTGTCTGCAAATACTTGCAGACTACTAGCTTAGCTGTGGTACAACTTGATAACGAGTAATGCAGAAAGGACATGGAGAAAGTTTACATCAGGGCTACAGCCAACAAGTTTTAAGAGGCGCTACTTTTACTTTGAAAAACATCTTCGTTTCTGGCTTGTGTTGCACATTTCTCAGTTTAACTGCAGATGGGTCATTAGGACATTAGGACAGGATGCAGATAAGTTCAAAGTATTTTATGTAGAAAGCTGTAAATGTAAAGTTGGCCATTTCTGAAATGTGGATTTAAGGCAGTGGTTCCCAAAGTGGTGGCACGCCCCCCCTGGGGGCGTAGCATGTTGGTAAAGGGGGGGCCAGAGCCATTGCAGGGGGGTGGCGAGGTATGAATAAAGTAAATAAATAAATAAAAGAATGCTTGGACACTGCTAGCATAATGGACAGGTTTCTTGACGGGGATCCCACACAAACACAGAGCAGAGGATGAACCATCGCCAAATATGCTTACAAACCAACTTCCTTCCAAGCTAATAAACTGCAATGGAGTTTGAAAAGAAAATATGGGTGCGTGTGGTTGGAGGGAGCACGCGCTGGTCTAATGGAACGGGAGTGAGCCTCTAGTGGCTATTTGAGGAACTGCAGTATTTGGTTTCAGTTGATGCTTGATGGACAAAACTTTATATACTTTAATATTCTGAACTGCTTGTAAATCATTTTCGAGATAAGCTCCAATGATTTGCTTCTTTACTTCCTGTTGAGATAAATCCTTTTAAAATCGACCCACAAATCATACAAATGTGTGATTTCCCACAATATGTATTTTGGTTAAACAAGTCATGAGAACAGGAACAGAATAAATACATTGTTGTAACAGCTCCCAGTCCATTTAAAGATGCTTTCCCCATTACAGAGATGTTCATCAGGCTTATGATTAACAGTAAATGTTATTACAGTCAATATCTCTGTAATATCTGGTGGTGACTTTCAGAGCCTCTTTTTCAGAAAGTCTCTTGCAGTAGTTACATTATTTTTGAGCCAAAGTCATCTCTAATTTGACTTTTGCGACTTTGGTCCAAGGTCACCACAATCAAAACTGTGAAGCAGATGGACGAGCTGGTGGATGTTGGCACCGACACGCCTGCTTGGCAGCGCTACAGACTGAAGATTATGAGCCTCTCCCAACAGGTGAGTAAAGTTAATTAAAAAATACAGTTTACATACATTTTGTCCAACCTGCAAATGTTGTTCTTCTAAACTGGTTGGTTTTTTTTTGTTTGTTTGTTTGATTTTTTTGAGTAACCAGGAAATTTGGTATTTTGGATTTTGTGAACAAAAGCAGTAACTAAAGGGCCAAGCTTTAACAGTGTGAAATAAAAAAGCCCCCTCCGGCACCCACCCCAGATCACAGCTTCCTCAAAATTACAGTTATTTTCAAGAGTGCTGAAGCTGAGGTGTTTTACAACTCAGGGCTGGCATTAAAATCCCCCAGTGGATGAAAGCAATGTGCATGCAAGCACAGGTGGAAGTAAATCCAAGCGTAGCTAAAATATTATGTCTTTTCCTTTAGTTTGTCTTTGATTTTTTTGAGTATATTAAAGGGATAATAAGCTACTTGCTTGAGCATTTATTGACCTGTCCGCCTGCAAAGTTTCTCCCAAATTTAAGTTCTGTAATAAAAACACTCGGCACACAAAGATGATGCATTTTTGAGGCATTGTGTGGATTTTTTGGCTTTGATGTGTTTAAACTTCAGCAGCATGTTGTTGCACTGGGCTTTTATGCTCTGGGCAAAAAAATCCCTCACCAGGCTGTGTGCCTGATTTGAATTTGCACGCAGCCTACGTTCTCCTACGCACACACACGCCTACGCGCTGCTGCTTAAAGCCTGCTTAATGCCCACTACAAGAAAAAGTTTGAACAATGACAGAGTTGAAGCAGCGTTTTCTTGTTTCATGTGGAAGCCGCTGTCATGTCGCTTTCAGGTTTTTTGTTCATGAGCTTTGCTCTTGTGTTTCTCCGTGTTCACTTGTTGCAGATACGGAATAACATCCTTGCCTGCTTCAGGCCAGAATATAAACGGACGACCTTTATGCTCATGGCTGTTTGGTTTTCTATGTCGTTCAGGTAATCTAAAACAAAAAAAAGAAACCCTCCTTGCTGTCTACTGTTTCTCACGCTCCGTTTGGGGCTTATTTAATCTCTCTTGACTCCCACAACTTTCCAGCTACTACGGTCTAACCGTGTGGTTTCCGGACATGATCAAGTACATCCAGAAGCAGGAATATGAATCACGCACGAAGACCTTCACTAAGGAGCGAGTGGAGCACGTCACGTTTAACTTCACCTTGGAAAACCAAGTGCATCGCCAAGGATACTACTTCAACGACAAGTAATTTTTGTTTCAGGGCAACATTAATTACTTTAATGCCAAAGTAGAGAATATTGTTTTTTAAAATATGCAATAAAAAAAATGTTCCTCATCACAGATTCCTTAACCTGAAGATGAAGTCCATGGTTTTTGAAGACTCCGTGTTTGAAGAGTGCTACTTTGAGGACATCACATCCACGCACACCTTCTTTAGAAACTGCACCTTCATTGCCAGCTTGTTTTATAACACAGGTAAATATGACTCCTCGTGTGCAGGAGCACTAATGAACATAATAAACTTGTTTTCCATGGATTTCCATAGGTACGTAGCAGATCATGCACTACATGGCCACATTTCTTAATCTGTGAATTCAGGTGTTTTTAGTCTTGTTGCCACCGGCGTGTAAAATCAAGCAAAGCAAAGTGGAAGCATTTAGGAAGTGGTATAAAGTTATAGTGTGGGGTCATCGAGCGCTGAGACACACAGTGCTTAAAAGTCATTAACATCAGCACCAAATCTGTTCACCAGGAGCTTCACGGCGTGGCTCACCATGGTCGGGCAGCCGCTATCTATCTATCTATCTATCTATCTATAATGATAATAATAATGGATTTATATAGCGCTTTTCAAGGCACCCAAAGCGCTTTACAATACCACTATTCATTCACTCTCACATTCACACACTGGTGGAGGCAAGCTACGGTTGTAGCCACAGCTGCCCTGGGGCAGACTGACAGAAGCAAGGCTGCCATATCGCGCCATCGGCCCCTCTGGCCAACACCAGTAGGCAGGAGGTGAAGTGTCTTGCCCAAGGACTATCTATCTATCTATCTATCTATCTATCTATCTATCTATCTATCTATCTATCTATCTATCTATCTATCTATCTATCTATCTATCTATCTATCTAATCCTCAAACAAATCCTCAAATGTGAGATTCTCTGTTCATTTAGCTGATGGTTTCACCTGACAGATAAATTATGTGAGAAATGCGTACATTTCATCTTAAAGTCAAAATAAAGGCATGACGGTGCGAGTGATCGGGCTGTCTGTACAACAGCGCCCTGTCAGGAAGAATAAAACAGATGTAAGAATGTGCTGAGTGGCTGATCAGAACCAGAAATTCCCCGTGTGCGGAGACCAAATCGTTTAAAAAGCAACTGAGCCGCGTGTGGTTTGGATTTCCGATTGTGCTTTAAATCAGCACGTCACATTCAGACCTGGGAAACACATGTGAGAAACTAAAGAGAAGCGGTTCCTCTGCTAGCATACTGCGGCTATCCGTCTCAAGCTGTGGCAGATTTATTCAGCTTCAGTTCTTCTGCAGCTTTTACGGCAGCTGTAGCTTTCTCCCCGATGAAGCCAGCAACGCATTCTTTTATGTTTGTGTCATTTGTGCATCTAAAATTTTACGATCGTTCAGCACTTTTATTGCAGACTCCGTTTAATAAAACTGTTATTGGATAGGAAGCCATTTCAGTGGTGTCATCAGGAAAATCAGACCTAGTCCCCTGTGTCCTCTACAGAAATGTCTCCTGACCTTTGCTGTCATTTTTGTGACGATTGGAGATGCTGTCCTGGATGCTGCTTTCGTGTTTTGCCCCTATTAAAAACAGATGCTTGTGTGGTGGCTGCTGTAATGTTCTGGCTTCTTTTGCTAAGGGATTATTTAATCTCCTCCTTCCCAGTTTGAGGAAAACTGATCTTTTATTTGGTTTGGTTTGGGTCAGACATTCTTCGGGACGTGGCGTAAATCTTTTATATTTGTTATGCTCTAAACAAAAAGTTAAGGTTGTATCTTTTACTTAGCTTTTCTTCTTTAAATCAGAGGAGAAACATGCAGAGGAGTTTCTTTCAGCTGAGGAGAGCTTCTTTACCCAGTGGAAATCACAGATGTTCACAAATTTATGAAATTATTTAATCATTTTCAAATTTTTTCCCTCCTTTTACGCCTTCAGATTTATTCAAATACAGACTCGTCAACAGCAAACTGGTCAACAGCACGTTTCTCCACAACAAGGAGGGCTGCATGCTCGACTTCAGCGACGACTTCAACAATGCCTACATGATCTACTTTGTCAACTTTCTCGGCACCCTGGCGGTGTTGCCTGGCAACATCGTCTCGGCTCTATTAATGGATAAAATTGGGCGGTTAAGGATGCTGGGTAGGTTAGTCTAATCTGGGTGGAGGATTCAGTTATGAGTGCAGAGGCGACTCGGTTTAATGTAACTACTGCTCCCTCTTTTTACACAGCCGGGTCCAGCGTCATATCATGTGTCAGCTGCTTCTTCCTGATGTTTGGAAACACCGAGTCGGGGATGATCGCCCTCTTATGTCTATTTGGTGGCATCAGCATCGCCTCGTGGAACGCCCTGGATGTGATAACAGTGGAGCTCTACCCCTCGGATAAAAGGTAACACGAGAGCAGATGTTTCCACTACTGCTGAGGTTTCTGTTTTCTGATAGAGAGTAATACTGTGGCAGTGCAATATCTGTCATCTGGTTGCACTTTCACTCATTTTGTGTTGTTATAAATGCCGTCCAGAAGTGTCATTTTAGGGTTGTTATCCCTTAAGAATTTGAATTTTTATTTGTAGTTTCTTTTTTGGAGAGAGAAGGATCTTTATGGAGGTGGACTCGTTTCTGCTGAGTGATACCAGAATTTTTACCAACAAATCTGCTGTGGATGGCAAAAGTTTGAGACGCCACATCAGTGTTGTTTCTCAGTCACCCAGCTCAGGCCTTGAGCCTTGAAAAAGAAGGCAGCTAGACTTTAGGTTTGCAAAGATGTTTCCCCTCCCATCCAAGAGGCTTCTTCAGTTCTAAGAAACAGTGCTGAGTCCAGGTCTTTGAAGGGGCTTGTCCTCTTTGGAAGTGATACTGAGGGTTGTTGACCCACTAAACGTATGGGTCATTACATGAGCCAAGGTGTGAAAAAAGGTGTGGGCCATTACAATCATTGAGGATTTAAGGGTCAAAGCACTCTTAACCCTCAAGGTGAGGTCACCCAAGGCAAAATGTGAGTAAGGTTTGAGATCTATAAAGGCCACTTAAATCCCCCTTAAGGACCTTTGGGAATCACTTTTAAAAGCACTCGCTCAAGTTGAATCTGAATTGGCTCTTTATTAAAAATATTGAATTGGCATATTTTTTATGAAGCGAAAAGCAAATCAAACATAGTAAAAAAAAAAAGTAAATTAAATGCTTCTAAGACCACCATATTAACCCAAATACGCATTTATTCAAGGTCTTTAAAAATATGTTTTATTTCAACATCCATCCTCTGCCCTGGGTCCTGGTTGTGGATTTGGAGGTACCAGTTCTCATTCCTGCCGCTTCACATTTTGCTACAAACCGAGCCACTGCATGCTGGAGGCCACCCTTTGATGAAGCCGGATAAACCACTTCATATGCAGGGATTGGAGAGATGATTCTGGGGCCGCAAAACTGGAAACCCTCATCCGCTTGGCTTCACTTAGAAATTATGTCAATAAAATTTATTAGCAGAATCGGTGTTGGCCAGTCCTCCTCTAGAGGCTCTTCATGTCATGTCCTGGTGGGATTCATATAAAAGTGTAGTTGTGTGTGAGAAAGAAGTTTTTTTTCACTTTGATTATCTTAAATATGGCCTTAATAGGTCAAATATGAAGCAGTGAGTGATAAATACTGTTAAAAACCCTCCTTACCCTGTGTGTGTGTGCTTGTCTGTGTGTCCCTCTCTTGTTGTCTCCAGGACCACAGCGTTCGGCTTCCTGAACGCCCTCTGTAAACTGGCGGCCGTTCTGGGGATCAGCATCTTCCAGTCATTTGTGGGCATCACCAAGGCCATACCCATCCTATTTGCGGCTGGCGCCCTCGCCGCCGGCAGTTTCCTTGCCACAAAGTTGCCCGAAACCAGAGGCCAAGTGTTGCAGTAAAGCCGATGACCAGCAGAGGGCAGCAGAGTCCAGCTGGCGTGTTTAACAACTAACAACATCCCTGAGAGCTTCAGCTCTGCTGTCACATACCAACAAACACAGACTGCCATCCCCATTGTAAGCCCAGAATCCTTTGAAATGTGGATTGCATCATTCAAAGAGGAGAACACACAGAGGTAGAAAAAGATGATGTTATATTTGTGATCACTTAATTTCCGCTGCTTTGTCAGGTATTCAAAATATTCAGAAAAAGAATCAGATATCTTATGGAAGAGCCACTCTTAGAGGGTGATAATGTGCTCCCACAGATGCTCAGTGACACAGAACGATCACATGATGAGAGGAAACTGATTTTAAAAAGCCATTTCTGAAGGAACGAGAATGATTTAGTCGGTGTATGTGGTGAGTTTTCCGTTTTTCTTTCTCGTCTGTCCTCGACCTCAGTGACTGGCGTACAGTGCCTCTGTTTAATGTGCTGTGACGTTACTGGAACAGTTCAGTTTACATTTGCATCCAGACTGTTGCTCATAGACTTGCTTGCAAAAGTTCTCAAAATGAATTTCAGGGTGAACATATTTTCTGTTAAAAAACAAAAAAACCCTCCCATGACCCTCGATCACTGCCTCCTACTGAAGCCTGACCTGCTGGCCGCTGTTATTCTCTACCAAATATTGTTAAAACATTCCAGTGAGGCTGCTGTTACTCAGACACAGAGAGCCGAGGTGCTTTTTCTCTCCCTGAGTAATTCCAGTTCTCTGCTCAGAGCCTCGAAATGCAGGCAGGCGAAGACGCATTTCACAGGATTCTCTGTTGTAAATGGGAATAGTTTGATCCAGTTCCTCGGTGTTTGGTGTCAAAACTGATGTTTTCCCTCCGTGTCGTGTGGCAGTTTGATGATGTTTTCGAGGAACGTCTGTGGGACGGATTTTGGTCAAGTGCTAAACTGTGAGAGCAAAAACTTGTGGTATTTGCCTAAATTAGTGGTGTGTGTATGTGTGTGTGTGTGTGCATGTTTTTGTTTGTACTCTGATTTATTCATTTACATCTCAGTGTTTCATGCAAATGACAGTGTCATTTGTGTCAGTGGGAATTTTACTTATCCAGCAGTGGTTTGAATAAGCAGTGTAGCCACACATTATCAAGGTACCTTAGAGGTGTAACTATTGTAAAAACTAGCCTGAAATCTCCACGTAAACACCCACAGTATCCTGCCACAAAAGCATCTTCCCAGTGCCCTTGCTAATGCCTGTAAAAGGTGTAATGTTTAAGGCTTGTTCAGATAACTAATAACCAGCACAATGTTTGTGCGGTACTTTCGGCGGCTACCTTGTTTCCCACACCAGATGGATCTGCACGTTTGATCTGGCACAGATTTTACACCGGATGCTGAGGCTGGGTTTGTGTCTTCTCCGGGTCTCAAGGACAAGGCAGGAATCAACATTGTAGTAATAATTTCAGTTTTCATTATTTTTTCTTCATGATCCCTTCAGGATAAAGCAATTAGGCCTGCAGTAAAATCAATTATATCTCCATTATTATTATCTTATTCATCCGCTCTAAAGGAAAAGCAACATATGAACCAAAACCATGGCTTTTAAGAATTTAGATCCCTGTTATCCTTATTGTACATGTAGTTTAGTCCACCTCCAATCCATATGAGAATTAGTCAGAACATAAGTTATCTGACTGAATGGGAAAGCTAATTCTTGAAGTCGAAACAACGAAAGGAGACTGATTTAGTTCTTTTGTTTGCTGTATTTAACAAATTTCCCAGAGGAACCCACCCGAGGGATTAATAAAGTTTTATCTATCTATCTATTTTTTTTGTTGGGGATCAAAACACGCAAACAAAGCAGTCTTCATTTACCCGAGAAAAACTGCACACAAGCACAAATCAAATGGGAAAAGAAGCTGTTAAAAAAAGTGAACAATTAGACAGTGTGGCAAGAGAAACAAGAATATAATTTTATTTTAAGGGCTCCTGTTCAGACATTCCTTCACTGCGTCCATTCCCGCTGGGAAAAGATGGAAATTTGTAACTCATTTTTATTTCTGTCATCTTTAAGGGTACGCAGGCTCTTAGTTTACATGTAAAAACCTGCTGTGACCTCATCTCAAGAATCAGAATCACCCTTAAAGCGAAGCTGATTGTGTACATCTTCATTCTGTAAACATATGGCAGTATTTTGTGTACTATTTGTGTGCTGACAATCAGTGAGAGTGTGACATTTTGACCGAAAAACGTCCTCTGGATTGTGTGTATGTGTGTGTTAGTGCTGTTATCAGCCCCCTCTATAGTAAACAAATACCCTTGTTCACTTATGGTAGCTTAGCTTAGCATATAGCCTGGACATGATGGGGAACAGCTACACTGGCTCTGCTGTTTCTCCTGTTAAGCTAAGCTAAGCTAAGCTAAGCTAAGCTAAGCTAACTGCCTGCCAGCTGTAGCTTCATATTCAGCATATAAGACATGAGAACATTATCTTCTCACTAAAGAATGCAAATGATACTATCTCTAAAACCTATTTCTTTGAAATCTTTCTTCAAATCTACATGCTGAGGATCATACCTGAGGGGTGTACTACAAGGTCAGGGCGTGATTAGCAGATTAGCAAGCTACGTCAAGCTAAAAGTCATCAGTTTGTCATAATGATCTGATAACGTTTATGATTGGAGTAGGGGGGACACTCATAGGTATCATTTTGTGCAGAAGAAGAGCTGTACCTGTAAAACCCCCCATTTTTATGTTTATGAGTGCACAAAGAGCATGAAGCGGAAAGCCCAGCTTACCAGAGAAAGTTGATAACCTCCATCATGATACACATTATCTCCAGCTGGGGCTTAAGCCAAAGAAAGCCTGGCTATGTTTAACTTCCTTTGTAGTACACCCCTCCGTTGTTTGCTGTTTGTGTACAAAGATGTATATGTTTAATGAACAGATTTGTCCCATCTTGTTCCTGTTGGAAAGACTGTTTGGATGTATGTATGTGTGTCTGTGTGCGTCTGCTGACTAAATCGTCTGTCACATATTTTTCTACTTTTTTCTGTTGCGATTCTGTTTTCATCCCTGTGATGATTACAGCTCAGTTGGGGACCACGGGATATATTTACACTATGAAAAGAAAAAAAAAGACCTATATATGCAGTGTAGAAATCAGTGTGTCGTTCTTCATAACAGACTCGGGTGCTCTTTTGCTGACACACCCTTTGAAACAAGTCCCTTGAAAGGCAGCCAGAAATAACACACGGTCTGCTCCTCAGTTTTAGAAACACACAGAAAAGGGAAAAAAAGAGAAAGGGATCGCATCTTAAATTCATAAAGACGGCTTCACCCCCTAAACCTTCTGTATTCAAACGACTGTGACGCATGTTCGTTATCGTATTGTCTGACTTTCTTGGACGTCCTGTATGCCAGCTGTTTTTGTCCAAAGCAAGAACTAGTGTTTTCATTGTCGTATGATGACATAGATTTGTTGCTTGCAGTGATTGTTCTTAATCAAAGTGGGGTGAAAACTGGTGAAACTCGAGTATGTGTTCTGAAAGTGAGTTAGTGGTGACTGTGCTCCTTGTTTACCTTGGACCCAGGTAACCTTTTTTGTTTTTATTATATATATATATGTGAATATACATGCTTGAATTTCTGAGGAGGTTGCTTGTGATCTTGAAGATAAGCTTTGGCTGGAAAGGGAAGTACACTTTCAATGTGAAGTGCATGAAAAGTGTAATTTGACATAAACTTGTTTGTTTATGTGAGTCTGTATTAAAGGGGGAGGTTTAAGTAATCAAGTCAAACTCAAAAGGACCACGGGTTTAAACTCATCAAAAGAGCGCCCTCTGTCAACTTGAAGCTCCTGTCCAAACTGTAAAAGTTTACGGATTAATGTTGCTACGTGTAGAATTTCATTCTATATACATATAAATATAAATAAATAAATATATATATAGATATACATGTATAAACTATAAAAAGAGTTGCTGATTTGAGTTTTATCCATAAAGGAAGGCAGTGATATTGGGTGCGGTCAAAATAAAGCAAACACCAGCCTGATAAGACTTCCCCTTAATGACGGCAGTCTTTTAAAAAGTGCGGGAGAAACACCTCCCGCATCTGCAGAGAACTGCAAGGATCCATCACTGTAGTTGGAGCGATGGCGTTTCTGTTTGCTTTCTTTAGTTTGACTCTGAGCTGTTTTATTATCTGATAAAAAGTTCTACTCTAAATGTGAGTTCAATTCAAGATTCAGTGTACTGTGTGTAGAAACCGTAGATGTTTGTATGTGCAAGTATGCAAATTGTGAAACAAAAAGATTACGGAAACAGTTCCAAAAAAAGTTTGGTATGACACAAAACTTTATTGTGTGTTGTCTTTGTGTTTTGTAAATCAAGACTGAACATCTTGGTAAATTCAGTATTTATTACTTCTGGATATTGAGAATATTTTAGTGATGCTGAAAAGGTGCTGTATTTATTTTATGTGAGAGTTGTCCATTATGCTGGGTTTTGCACTTTTGTGCTATTTATCCAGTTCTTTGAATAAAATCATAATGGAAATAAAACTTGAAGAAAGAAAACCAGTGTCCTGTACTCCATTTCACACCGTCAGATAATTTTCACTTCATTTAGACGTTTCGCTTTGTACTTTCAATGTACAGTACTGTGCTGAGTCTTTAGTCACCCCTTGCTTCTCTGTATTTTGCTGGAAAAGTGGGAAATGGGATTTATTGAAATGTGCAAACATGCATTTAAGTGCAGTAAAAACAAGGGCAAAAACAGCATCATAGTTGGTATGACCACCTTTATTCTTCACACAGCCTGAACTCTCTTAGATTAGCTTTCTTGTAATTTCTTTGAATGTCCTTTTAAAATCTTAAAGCTCTTCTTTGGATGTTGGATGCCTTCTGTTCTCTGTCAAGATGACCCCACACTGCTTCTATAATATTGAAATTCGGCCTCGGGGAGGCCAATCCATGAATGTGTTCCACTGTGCGTTTTTCTATCCAGGTCACTGTCAATCAGACACTACAGATGACATAAATTCCATCAAATTTGACTAGATCTCCAAAACCTTTGACGGAAACCACGACAGAGCCGTCACTGTGTTTTATAGATGGCTGTATACACACACTGTCATATACAGTGACGACCTCGGCACATATTGATTTAAACCTAAAGAATTTCCTCTTTCATTTCAGTTCTTGTGTAATGTGGCATACCCCAGCCTTTTCTCCCCATTTCCCTTCCTGAAGAATGGCTTCTTCACAGCCACCCTTCTATGGACACCATTTCTGATGAGGCTTCAGTGAACATAGATGGAGCAGCTCAAAGGCCAGATGCATCTCTCAGGAGTGTATTAGACATGGTTTTCAGATATTGTTCATCTGTGGTTGATAGTTTTTAGGCTTGCTACTTCTTTTGTTCCCCACAAAAGAAGAAGTGGGAAGTCATTTTTCTCATTACGTTATTTAAGGACACACTGCACAACAATGCTGAGATTAAGCCAAGCTTTTGACCAAAACCTCATTGGGAATAATCTTGCTGGCGCAAAAAATTTTATGCCTCTCAAATCTCCAACCAAGAACTCAGATCGCCAGAAAGCCTGGAGATCTATTGGCTCAAGACCACTTTAAAAACAATGTCTCCTAAGAAGCAAAATATAGTGAAATAAGAGATTTTAAAATTACATCTTGATGTTTTCATTATTGTAAACATGTATATTTTGTTTTGCTGGTAAGATTAATAAAACTAATTTTTCAATAAGCCATTTTAAATGACATTTAAAAGGCAAAACATCAGAAATAAATGTTCAAAATTGCCTATAAGGATACATCAAAAGAAATTGAGAAAAGAAATAGAAGAGATTAAGCCATAAATATAGAAAAAGGGTTAAATACAATTAGTGAAAAGGTGCCCCCCAAAAACGTGATACCAAGTCAAAATCCAATATAAAACAAATATTTAACAGTGTTAAACTGTTAAAAAATATAAATTCTGCATCAGTTGCATATATTTCTGCTTATATTCAGATTGCAAAGCTTCCAGCAGCTCAGGCTGTAAAAACTAAAAGAGACCTCTGCAGATATTTTGAATGATGATCAAATACAGCAGAGTTATGTAAAGAGGAGGATCGTTAGGCAAACAGATACAAAGAACCCACAGAGCAGAGCAATCCAACAGGAAGGAGACAACAGCTGTGGGTTCAGACACTTGAATTAAGCGCAGCATTATCCTCATAATACCAGATACCTGGAAGCCAAAGCTGTATTGTGATGGATACTTTTTCATTTTCCAGTTGGGGGCAGTGCTCTCCATGATGATTTAGAACTAGTTTGCGTGTCTAATTGAAGAAAAACATTGGCTGGGGCCCATGAATCACTGATGGGGTACGTTTGATGTCACTGCTGCTGGTGCAGGTTCAACATCCGAACTCAGGAGTCCTGTTGTACCTTTTCTAAACCTGCAGTTTAACCACAGTCAGTTTAATGGAGCCCGGTTTTACAGAAACTGGCTGCAGTTGAGTCATAGGTGCAGCAGGGGCCGCTCATGAGAGTCAAGAGGATTGTGGATTTAAAGAGCCCATTTAAACTTGCCTCAAGCCAAAAAACAGTTTCTTTAAATGCCACATTTATACAATTTGACAAATTGAAATAAAATGAGACTGGGAACTGTCAGCTGGCATTTATATAGCAAATTCCCAGCCTTAATTACTAAAGGGCAGGGAGACCCTGGGTTGACCAGCGTTGTGTAATGTAGATCCATAGAAGTGAACAAATTAAATTTAAATTAAATTAATTAAATTTATAGCAAAATCATAAAGTTTCCAACATGTTAAAATTCCAGTGATCCAGTTTATTTAAACATTTAAAAAAAAAAATTACACAAAAATAAAACAAACTTAATCAAACAAAAGGAAAACAAGCATGGTGAGCGATGCCACACTGGTTGTTTCGGTTCCGAGCCATCTTGATGTAGCCTTCTTCTCCAAACTGTACACCCCAGCTACAAATGAAGCAGCTGCTGTCATGAAACTCAAAATTAAAGGAAACAAAGAGACCCAGTCCATCAACCAGTGACTCAGAACAACCTGTTTTTGACGAGCCAGTAGTCCTGTCCTTTCTCTCTGCCGTAACCCACAACCAGCGCGCCATGGTTCACTTTCTGGGTACACCTGTTGTCCATGTACACGCCTGTTGGTTACAGGAGGGCAAATATAGGAACTCTGACTAAGATTCAATCTGTGCATCATTTTAATAAAGTAACCAACCACGATGGTAGAAGTGAAACTGTGGCCTGGAAGCATCAACTGCAACAGCGATGGGCCCCACAAGAGCCACTGCCTCCTTCAGTGCAAACTCATCCCCCCTTGGTAGGCAGTAATACCCTGAGCAGTTAGCAGCCCGATACAGTGGGTTGTACTTGCACTGATTATGCTGAAAAACGGATGTTGAGTCGAGTTAGTAGACTCTTTAACATGAGAAACTTCTAGGTTTAATCACAGTCTACCTGCAAGTGGAAGCTTGACTCACCTTTCCGACATAGGGGTAAGCATCTTCAGAAGCAATGCCTTGGTTATCAACAACATACTTGAAGGCATGTGCTATTAAGCCACCATTGCATCCCCGGTTGCCATAATCTGTGGTGCAGTCAATCAGGTTTTGAGTGCTGAGAGATCTCAAAATGCCTGTAAACTTTTTAAGTTGCCCCTCAAGAGCTCCAGCCGCACTGAAAGCCCAACAAGCGCCACAAGAACCCTAAAAGAAAGGTTACTCGTGACATGATTAAAAATGTAGAGGTTTCCTGTTACATGTGTGGATATCTGAGGGGACCAGCTAGGACCTCACCTGCATTTTGACTGGAGTTACCAAGCCTTTATCCCTCCAGTCCACTGAAGCTGGTAGAGAAGCATTGACTTTTATGAAGCTCGCAGCAACCATCTCCAGGTCAGATGGTACCCTAGTGCCCGTGAGAGTGCCAGCGATCTCCACGGGGGTCTGCAAGCGTGGAGAAATTACACATCATTCACCATCAAGTGATGTCAAGTTTGAGGAGAATCCTCACCATGTCTCCGAAGTGGTTGATTGCCAGTTCGTAAGTGTGCAAATTCAGTGAGGCTTCCAGGTTGTGAAGATTAATCAGTTTCAAGTTCATTTCCCAAATCAGTCTGCGTCCCAACTCCTCAATCTGGAACAAATGTTACACCAAATCTTCTGTGGCATATATGTGCACAGTAACTAAGCCAGAGTTCAGACATCCAAACAGCTTGATGTTAATGAAACACAAGGTGGGTTCTTGTTCTAAAATCAAGCTTAAACAGACCTATATGCTTAAACCAAACCCAGCTAAACACTTATATAGATGAAGACATGAAACACTCATGTTAAAGTTACAGGATTGAGCACCTTGGTATTTTTCCACCTTTGTTTTACCTGGTGAAAATATACTTTCTTATGCGTTTTCTTCCATAGCTCCCAGTGTCGATCTGTTTGCGAACTGATATCGGCCACTGCAAATCCACACAAGACTGTGAAAAGCAGGCTCCGAAACATTTTCAGAATCTGGGAAAAGAAGAAGACGGGTTCCAACCACAGTGTGACAAAGCAAACAGCCTGCAGTGTGGCTCCTGCTTTTAAGTGGACAGCAGCAGCAGCAGAGTTTACAGGTGGTATCAATTTACATTTAAAGTCAGCTGAAGTATGTTAGCACTGAGAGGAGGCGTCTTATGAGCCATCCACATAAATTATATGCAGTTCAGATTATTTGACAAACTTGAAAAAAACCCATCAAACCTGCATTCACTGATTTACTCGGGTACTTGGTAAAAAGCAGTGAATGCCTGCCATGTCCATCCCTTCATGGCCACAGTGCACTAGTGTTGAAAAATACTCCAGTAAAAGTTAAAGTAGTGATTCAAGTATCGGCTCTGAAATGTACTGAAAATAAGAAGTAGTTCGTTGGAGGAGATTTTTACTGGCTATTTTTTGTACAAGCTTACTGAACATTGTGCTATATTAATGTATTAATGTAACAATAAAATAATATCAGCTTGAATCATTTATGTAGAACAGGATGAGAGAAAAAGAAGGAAAAAAAGCTCCATTTTCTTTGCCTCTAAATGGGAAAAGGAGTACAGTCCAGTCTGGGGTTAAAGTGGAATCAAAGGGTGGGGGAATCAGTTGTAATTGCTCAGTGTGGGGAAGAGAATCACAACTCACTTTTTACTGAGAACTTCAGTAGATTTTCTTTAAAGTACAGGCTGTGATCAGCTAACCAGCTGCTCTTTGCAGATGTACACACCTGAATTCAACCAGATGTGAGCAGATGTTTCATGAGTTGTCCTGGCTGATGCCCGTTCTCTACACTGACTGTATACCGTTTATGCTGTCTCTATACTGTGCACCAGCCACGTACTGATTTAAAAGCATGAGGACTTACATCTAAGTTTCACATTTCCAGTTTAAAAGATAACACCGAGCAGTCCTTATTTGTTTAACAAATGTAGGGAGTAAAAGCAATAAGTTTTCAGGAAAAAAAATAGTCAAGCAAAGTTCAGATACCCCAAAATTCTACTTTAGTACTACTTCTACTTCCACCTCTGATTAAAACTGATCAGTTGACAAAACCTTTATTGTTCTTGAGTGTAAATTTGTGCTTAGAAATGTACAAATAAGCGAATGTGCATAAAGTATTTTTACATGGCACAAAATGTTATGAATCTTTCAATTTTTTCACTTGTCGTTGTCACTATTATTAAATCTGTGAGGTTTAACATGCAGAAAGAAAAGTAAATAAATACTTAGAGTACAATGTAGAAACAACACTACTGAATGAGAGCTGAAGTATTTCAGTCTCAGACATGTGTGAGTATGTAGTCAGACATTTAAAGTACAGTGATATGTGTTTTTTTTTTATCAGATGAAAAGTTATTTCAGTTGGTTGGACTTTAAACATCTTTAGTGCTGATGTGAAATAAAACACAGTGACACTAACTGGTCTTTAATAATAATTTAAATAAACTAAGTTGAGTTAGTGGGCCATATTTTCACACTGTAGGGTAGACTGGAAGGCTGGCAATGCCGCAGAGATTATTCTTGTTCCGGGCAAGCCGAATGTAGCCTCCTTCTCCCCATGCAGTTCCCCAGCTGAAAAGACAAAAACATTCACATCTAGGTTCAAAATATCGGAAATATTTTACAGGTTAACAATCGGAGGTACGTTTACCTATTTTTCACCAGCCAGTAGTCTTGTCCTGCATCTGTGCCATAGCCCACGAGCAAGACAGCATGATTAATCAGCTTTGGGTTGCAGCTTGGTACGTTGTATAAACCTAATAAATGCAGGTGCGTAAGTTAAAAAAATACATAAGGTAAAAAATATGTGGTACAGCCGGTCAGTGGGCTACTCGTCCTAAGGGCCTCACAAGGGCTGACAAACCTAAAATTACAGCAGCGGTAATGTGCAAACTTTGCAATGAAAGTAGGAGATGTATGACCTCCCTGAGGGGGCTCCACCAGTTTCAAGTGAATGAATACATGATTCTGTTTAAGCCACTTAACAAAAATCAAGAGGAGTTATCCCTCCGGGATTGAAGCCTTTTGTCTGGATCAGAGACCAGCAAATAAAGTAAAATTCACTAGAATCTCCTGCACCGTGAAGCTTTTAGCCTCCTCACCTCCACTGTACATATGAAAAGATTCCAGCATGGCATTCACGGCCACGGAGATTGGCCCCACTGATGCCAAAACTTTCTGCAGCATCTTCTCATCTCCTTCTGGAAGGACGCTGAATTTGGAACAGTAGCCAGCCCGTCCCTGGACAGAATAGCGGCATTTCCCATTCTGCAAAGAGAAACGAGACATTTATGAAAAGACAGAAGCACTGTCAGTCTTTCTGTGTTTGTCCACCCTCTTTCCTACAGTTCTCTTTGTGCGTGTAGAGGATGACCTTGTGTTCGTAGGGATAAAAGCTCTCCGAGTCAACGCCTCCGTTGCGAATGACGTAGCTGTAGGCTTTCGTGATGTAGCCTCCTCTGCAACCCAGGTTTCCGTCCTGGGTGCTGCAATCCACCAAGTTCTGCGGACTCAGGGAAACAAGTGTACCAGTGCGCTTCTTCAGCTGGCCCTCAAGAGCTCCCAAAGAGCTGAAGGCCCAGCATGACCCACACAAACCCTTAGAAAATAAAAACAGTACAAAGTGTCACTTTTGTCAGGGGATCGCGTTAATGATTTTCCTTTTCTTACAACACCCGATCTCACCTGGTTTCTGACAGGACCCACCAGGCCCTCTTTCCTCCAGTCCACATTCGCAGGTAACGATGAGTCACTCACATCCTTAAAAGTGCCATTTGTGAAATTAACGGTCTCCTCCAGCTTCAAGCCGTTCAGATTCTCATTGATCTCCTCGGCTGTCTTGGGGGCAAAGAAATGGCAGCGGTAAATAAAACAAAAACACCATTAAATATCACCTCTGCACAACAGCATTGTTTTCACTTGACACCGAATGTATAAAGACAGCACCGATCTCGGGTTGCGAATGTGCTTAAAACCCATCATCGACTGAAAAGCAAGCTGAAGCATTGAAAGAGCTCCACTTGGTCAATTCATTCTGTTCCCACCCACTGTGAATTTTGCACTCGGCATTAACAAATCTCTAATGGAGATGCTGGCTGTGTGTTTGCCCTCCTTGCCCTTCCAACTATCACCTCTGTCTTTGACGAAGAGCATAAAATACAAAAGGTGAACGGTCCAGCTGTAGCAGATATGGCTCTGTGTCATTTTATCTTTCACAGCAGCTTTAAAAACAGAATCTTTCTCCTTACATGTGAGTGTATTTCAACTGCCTCACATTATTCACCCAGGCAACTGCAGCACTCTGTCCTCTGACAGCGGGCCAAAAGCTTGCATGTGTCCCAAACATTTCTGCCAGTTTCCTGCAGAGAGCCAACACGCCACGCCCATCCAGGCTTTACCGCTCGGGCTTCCTGGATTTTTAATCAAAAATAAAACCCCTCTAACTTAGAATACAATTCCTCTCTTGTTTCTGCACTTGTTTTTTTTTTTTTTTTTTTAAATATTAACAATCCATTCATTCATTTAAAATATTATCCATGCAGGAACAAGAAATCAACACTGTAACACTGACATGTTGCTCTAATATTTTAAGGTTTTTGCACTTTGTGTTTGTGGTCTTTCAATGTGCAAAACATTTAATGAAACCTTTTTCTTGAGATCCTTTTATTTAAAATACAAAGTCCACATAAAATGCAAGGTTATCAGACATTTGCACATAAGCAAAGTATTTCATTTAATAGTTTATACAAGTCCAACCTGAACCAGAACAGCACAGAACCAACCAGTTTGCAACCCTGCAGCTATGCTGTTATTCTATTTTCTGTTATATATTTCCAGCATTACATAAGGGTCCTTATGTACATAAAAATAAGCATCTTGATTGTCCAGGCTGGCCCAGCCCATACTGGATTAAATTAATCTGATTGTATGAAGGGAGATTAGAGCCGCTCTATAGGTTAGGGTTTAAATTAAGCCCGCCGGGATGCAGTTTTATCCGCAGATTAACAGTGGCGGTCATTCAAGTCCATCTTGCACCAGCAAAAGATCAATGTGCATGAATGCACTTGAGGTTCTGATGGCAAACATATGGTTATGTTTACACGGTGTTAAAATGTTTGTATCCACCAGAGGTCTCTCAGATACGCTCCTGTGAGTGATCGCTCCAGTCTGGCGCTGCAATTCGTGTTGTTCAGTTTAACAGAATTGCTAAATGTTTTCAGTTTGGTTGATTTTTCTTCTTGTTGTCAAAATTTCTGCCATCATCAGCATAACTATACAATGATTTGGGAGTGTGATTTGTGTAATAGTTACATATTGGTTAATACATGAGTGAGACAGACAAGCAGAGAGAGAGAGAGAGAGAGACACCAATCCCGTCTGTGTAGAGATTTTCGACTTTATACTCGATATGTGGCTCAAAGTGTGGCTGCAAGGCCATAATAGTCATAATATAGACTGGAGGCAACTCAACCCCCTAATATTAAAACATATTTTAAAAACTTGATATTCAAATATGTTCAAAATGTGCCCCTCAATATACTGAGATTAAAATATAAACCAGAGATTTTCCTGTGCAGGGAAATACAGGGAAAAAAATCTTAATAATAACTAGACAAATTACTGTTATTATTCTGACTGATTCCAGCTGTACAGCACGTTTGTTGTAGTGGTTTTGCCACTAAATGCTGCAAACTGAGTGTAGACACTGCAGGGTATGCGGACCACTGCAGAGCAGACTTGGACTGAGAAGGACCAGTAAGATCAGACTAAGATGGATGGCTTTTTGGGGCGACCGTGGCTCAGGGGGTTGGGAAGTGTATCTGTAACTGGAAGGTCGCCGGTTTGATCCCCGGGCTCTCTGTCCTTGTTGTTGTGTCCTTGGGCAAGACACTTTACCCTACCGCCTACTGGTTTTGGCCAGAGATGGCGCGATATGGCAGCCTTGCTTCTGTCAGGGCAGCTGTGGCTACAACCGTAGCTTTCCTCTACCAGTGTGTGAATGAATAGTGGCATTGTAAAGCACTTTGGGTGCCTTGATAAATCCAATCCATTATTATTATTATTTTTGTCTGGATGAGAAGACAAATGATGACAATGAAGTTTCTGAATGTTGTTACAGTCACTGTATGAAACCAGCTGTGGTTAAAGTCAGCAGTTACTACCACAATCGTATGAGCGCCTATTCTGTAGTAGATCTCACTTCTACTTTACATAGAATTCATGGTAATGCCAAACCAAGTGCACTGATCCTGCAATTGTTTGTTCCTCTTCTGTCTTCTACTGTTGCTACAGCTTTGTTCAGCACTCAGATATTTTTCCTGTGGTCACTCCAGACTGCAGATAGTTTTAGATCATTTAATGCAATTCTATCCATGAGCCTTGAACCTGTTTTAATGTTACTAATGAACGACTGCACAATAACAGATTGTTATCTAGATTTAGAAAGTTTAGACATCCTGTCTTCTCAGCAGCAGCATCCTACCATGTCAGCCAGGTGGTTCAGTCCCAGCGTGAAGCTGTGCTTCCCCGCCGAGGCTTCCTGGTTGTGTCTCAACACCAAGTGCACGTTCTTCTCCCATACTGCCCTCCTGAAGTCGATCTTGGTCTGAAACACAAATCCACGCTGTCTCATTCAAACCTTGCCAGAATATGTGATAACAAAGACAAAATGTCTGTTCAAGTCCTACTTGATTATCATAAACTTTTCCATGTTTGGTTTTCCACTCTTCCCACAATTTGTTCACAGCGGGCGAAGAACAGGCGAGGACCACGAAGGCCAAAAGCAACACGGCACACAAAGTGTGCATACTGAAAAGGAAGGGGAAAAAGAAAAACAGATGTAATCCTTGTGTAATCAGCTAATCACTTCAGTGGTTCAGTTCAGTTCAGTTTATTTATTATTTCAAACACATAGATTCACCAACATTTCATAATATCATTCCATGCAGTTGTTTGAAAAGGAGTAGGCAGAAATATATACTTATTTAGCCCTACCCCCTTCAGTTTACATCTTAATCATTTCCTCGTGATCTAAATTTGAACAACAAAAACTTGTTGCCTTCAACTTAGGCAACTTGGATTGCATTTTGAAGTTTCAGTATCTAACTTTCTGTGATTTGGTGTGCACCTGAGGTTACTTTTGGTCTAAAACTATGTTAAATTCAAACATGATAATGTTTAATGCAGTAAAAGTATTTTCCTTTAAACTGAAAGATGTGAAAAGTCGGAGCTCTGAGAAGTTACAAAACTCTACAAGAGAGTCACAGTATAAACAGTGCGGGAATGTATACAACTCAAACACAGAATGATAAACTCCAGGTTTCCGTCACCACTGAGCCTGAAAATGGTCACGCAAACATAGTAACCCTTTCATGGATGAATTATGACAACCTCAATCAGGATTTTTAGGCATCTTTAGGCATGAAAAGATGAATAAAAATCCTGATTGAGGTTGTCATAATTCATGCATGAAAGGGTGAGATAACAATAATTACAATGAAACACGTCATACATCTATAGTAGCATTAAACGACCAGTGGGTGGCAGGGTAAGGAGTGCCACAGCAATGCCCGATGTAGTGCTTTATGTGCAAGTATACCATCAACACTGACACAAATACAAGAAATCAGCCTTTGAATAGCTGTCCACTGTAGTGACCACTATGCGTGAAAGGGTTAAGCATGATTAGCATTCAGTGCACAAAACCACAACACTGCATTTTCAATAAAACATAGTCTGCAAACAAAAGCAGAAGAGCCTGTAAACATGATTCTAATCTACAGAGCAGACGTCTGAAGATTACTTCATCGCAAAACAGAGAAGTTCAAGCCGTAATCTCTTACTGTAATCTCCCAGCTTCTTTCTCAGTAAATCTTTTCCGACACCATATGATTATTCACTTACATCCATAACCTTAAACAAGCCATTAATTTAACAAGACGTGTAAAAAGAAAAGAATCACACTCACCTTGTTGCAGAATGACTTCGCCCAGAAAGACAAGTTCACCCGGTTTGAGCACACTTAGATCTTCACGCCTTAAAAGAGGAAGTTTTATTTCCTGATGCGAGCTTTTATGCATCTGCTCACTGCCTCGTCATGTGAATCTAATTTACAACCAGCTGCAACCACACAAACTAGGCTTCCCGTATGAGAGTTGCACGTGGGGAAAGTTAAATGATGAAAATACCCTTGCGTGTGGAGGGAAATGCGTGCGAAATGAAAACGTTTCAGAATAAACTGATAGAAATGATACTGATTTTATAGTTCAGGGAGATTTTTTATAATTAATCACGACTTTGAATCATATTTTGACGTACTGTAGCTGTTAGCTGAAATGAGAAAAGGGCACATGAGCTTAATTTATTATTCTGCCACAACCAAAAGCAAAATCCAGATTTACTGCCTAATGATGCTAATTTAAATCGAATTACACAGGGTCAGAGCGAGTCTGTTTTGAAAGCTGCAGTTTAATCATCAGGGCCCTTTGCCTTCAAACATGCTGTGGATTTGTAGAAAACTAAAAGAGGCGTATTAAAAATGCTCTTTCTTTCTGGATTCTTGTTCTGAACGTCGAGCCAGAACTCTTGATCATTCTTGTTCAAATGTTTTTCTTTTATTCTTGAATTTGACGTGAACTTCCTCGCATCTTGTTTTTGTATACAAGTGGAAACAACCACAGGATGCACCATGATCCAGTCATTCAATCTGATGTGGTCTGTGCTGTATCTGTGTGGGTCTCCAAAAAGTATACTGGTCCTTTCAATGCAGAGGAGCAGCTTCTCTACTCTGACATGCAGCAGCCATTCATCTAAAATGTGACTTTTTCTAACAACTACTGGGATACAAAAGAGAGAAGAGTTGTAAGACTACCACAAATAACCGCAAGAAGATGACAGGTTCTCCTTTTCCTCTCATGCTTGTTGTATTTACTTCTTGAGTGTACTTGGTAAAGTTGTATGTAAATAAAGCTGTGGATTCTTAGCTCTGACAGGTTGGGGAATCAATCCCAGCAATAAAGACTGATGGATCAGCTGATCAGTGAATTCCCTGCTGCACATCCTGCTGTCAGATCTCATGGGGCATGCTATTTGATCCATTTTAGCTTGCCTCTGCAAGACACTTTGCAACCCACCCAACCTGAGCTTCTCCATTTCAGGCTGCTTATGCTTCTTCTGTGAGGTGATCCTGTTGCTGCCTTTGCTGTCTTTTGAATTTCCAGAAGAAGAAAAAGTAAATTACTGAAGCTGGAATAACTGTCCCATACACTTTGAGCTTTAGTTGGGTAAATAAACTTTCGGTTAGTTAGGTGAGAATCACAAATATCCTCTTTGCTCCACATTCAGATTGTTGTGTTTTAATCCA